GGTGCATAACACTTTCCTTCCACCTTCTGTCCACCTCATTCTGAGTTTTACACAGTGAGTAATATGAAAGGGAGGCAATATTTCATGAAAGACCTTCAGGGTCTTAGTTCTCTCACCTTTAAAAAAAAGAAGAGATTGAATTTAATGACCTCTAAGTTTCTTTCCAATTGTAAAATGCAATGAGTTTCTATTTGGAAACCACATGAAAACTCACCATTTGGGGCAGTTAAAGGCTCATACAATTCCCAACAGAAAAGCAATCATAACATAAACTGTGAAAGTGAGTGCTAGGGCTGAGATGCTACTTGTAGGTTCTCATGAAGTAGGGCCCATCTGAGGCGTTCAAAATCTTTTGCTGTGAAATTCTGATTTTTACTTATGAGGGTGGTACAAATAGCTGTATTGGAAATAGAACTGTAAAATTTGATCTATTATTATTCCAGTCACCCTGTTCTATAAATCCTATAATCTGATCCAAACATTGGTTGTCTACTATGTGCCAGTGACACTATGTTGTTGAAATGCCCTTTCTGCTTTAGTGTGTAAGGCTGCTTCAGTCTCCCATTCCCATACCAGCTGTTGACCTAGATCCCAACATATCTGGGTCTCCTTCCTTTGGAGGTAAATAAATGGAATCTTCTGGTCAGAAATAGTAAGTGCAGGTCTAGGGGAACAGATCAGGCAGCACAAGGAGATGAAATATCTCAGAAACAAAACCAGGGACTAGGACAATAGTTTTCATGTGATGGAGAAGGGCAGGGAAGGGAACAAACATTTCTATGGGGGTTGTTCTATGCCCGGCACTCTATTAAGTGCTTTACAAATACTGTGTCACTTGATCTTCACAACAATTTTGGCAGGTAGGTGCTATTGTTATCTCCATTTTACAGATGAGGAAACTGAGGCAAACAGAGGTTAAGTGACTTGCTCAGCACCACTTAGCTAGTTAGTGTCTGAGGCTGGGTTTTAACTCAGGTCTTCCCACTCTAGGCTGAATGCTCCACACAGGTGGGATAGTGAGAATAAGTAAAATAAATAACATTTTCCTCTCAATAGAAAGAGTACTTTGATACCTCTATGTAGTTTATATATGATTGTTTTTTCATAATCTGGAGATATTATTACTTGAATATTATTAGATTTCTTTTCTGTTATCCTCTTCTTGCTCCTTCTCTTCAACATTTCTATCTGTCAACTTATAGGTGGCTTCAATCATAGACAATTAAGTTCTTTTTCATGTTGACATCCCTAAAGGGCCCCATGTGGTCTCATAATGTAACAAGGCATGGTTTTGGCTTCACATAAGTAGACTATAAAGGCAATTCTTATGTCGTCCTAGCATATGATAGAAAAAAAAATATTCCAATGTTCTGCTCAAACACCCTTGGCTTACAGGCCTTTACTCCTGGCCATGAAGCACTTGGTACTAGCAGTTCATTCAAGGCACATGTTTTCATTATATAACCACAAATAAGTCCTGTCCAGGTCAAATGCATTGTTCTTTCTCCCATCCCACCCCTACTTCTACCCCATGGCATCATACACCTGAACAATGTTGTATTTTCTAGCCATAAATAGCCTTGGATTTGGGGAAGAGGAGAGTCTATGCACAGAGCCACTGAGGTTGAAAGGATCATGTTCAGGTAAGGAAACTACACTGCTGAGTAAAGCTTTACCTAATCTGTTGATGTTTATAGGAGGGCATCCAGAAAGATTCCTTCACATTTGTTGTTACATCAGGATTCCAGGGCCAGAGCGTCAGGCTTATTTTAGGTAAAATATGGTGATTCCATTCTCAGAGGACTGATTGCATTTCTCTTATGAGTATTCACAAGGGTGAAATTAAATTCCATGCAAAAAGATTTGAACTTTATTCCATTAACAGTAGGGAGCTTTTGAGAGTTTTGAAAATTTATTCATATCTGTACTTAAGGAAGATAATTTGAGAAGCAGTATGAAGGGAAGATTTATAGAGGAATGAGACTATAAGAGGAAGGAGGATTAGTAAGGGACTTTGGGAGTTTTTACAGTAGTTGGTAATGTACTGGGGTAATGAGTGTTGTATCTGAGAGGAGGGGAAGGAAGTTAGACAAATTGTGGAGGGAGATCTGATAGTACATGACAGTTGATTGATTATATGACAGTTTGAGGCAGACAGAAACTTTAGATATAGGTTCTAAATGCCAGATAGTGAATTTTGGTACAAATGAGAGAAATGGGAATATCAGAAGAGAGAGCAAGTTTTGAAGAAAAGATTAAAAATTTCATTTTGGACATGTTGAGCATGAAGTGTCAGTGGATATACTTTCAGGAATTATTCACATTTATCACTTTAAAGTTTACAGACTATTATTTTCACAACAAACCTGTGAACTATAGAAGGTTGAGGGTCCTTGAAAATCAAGTACTTATTCACTGATAACAAGGCAATAATTTTGTTTTAAACTAACTCTAAAAACTGTCCATGACAGATGATCCCTTTATGTTTCAAATAAGCTCATTGGCACAGAGCCTGGTCCATAAGGAGGGCTTAATAAATGCTTTTTGACTGGCTGAATTAGAAGTGTACCAAGTTACAGGACAAACAATTTTTCTAATCTGAAGTAGGAGAAGGTTCTAACTCATCAAGAAGATAAAGGTAGCTGGAGGAGGAGAGGCTGGGATAAGCCACATGGGATTGGGAGAACTGAAGCATGGGCAGAAATTTCCATAAGCATAGAGTAAAGACTTTTGTATCAAGGCTGGGGTGGAGTCTTAGGAAAAAGGCTATGATACTGAACCTCCTTCCCTTTTTCTACCCTCCCACCCCCCAAAAAATTCCCACCTACATAACCTGATTTTAGTGACATAACAGTCTAGATCACCTATTATAAATGTGGGGAAAAGTAAAAATTAGAGTTATAAATGATATTTGAAATGATCAGGGTGACTGAGAATGAAAAAAGATGAGCTAGAAAAAACCTCCTAGTTGGTAACCTTTGACAGAGTTGTTTAGTAGGGTGAACAGGATCCATGTAACAAAATGCTGAAAGTGAATGGATCATGAGGAAATAGAGGTAGAAGTTATAGTTTTCAAGCAATGTGGCTTTGAATTGAAGGAGAGAAATGTGATAGTAGATATTATGTGTGTGTGTGTGTGTGTGTGTGTGTGTGTGTGTTAAGGAGATTAGAGAATGTTAATAACACATGGAGAGGGAAAGATTGAAGATGGAAGGAATAAACCCCTGAAATTGGTACAAAGAAATGACAGTAATTAACATTTATGTGGTACACTTTTAGGTATTGCTGAGTAGATATGGATACTAGAGATGGACAACTAGTGGTCAAAACAGATATCACCCAACAATTCCAGCATGGCTGACAGCATCTAGAACGTGATTGATAAGCTAGCCATTCCCATCCTAAGGGACTAGGGGTGGGGAGTAGTTAAAGAAGCATGACAGAGCGAGTACATCAGCATGGAAAGCCAGCACACACAACTAGGGAATAGTTGCTATGACTAATGACTTATTTACTTATGACTCAGAGAGGGAAAGTCATGAGGAGGCAATCCAAGCTACTAGAAAAAATAATCAAGATAATGACAGTGACAACTATGACAATAACAATGATGATGATGGTAAGTATAACAACAACAACACAAGGTCAAGGAGAAGTGGAGGGAGAGAGAGGGAAAAGGAGAGTGAGTAGAGGGAGAGAAGGAGCATAAGGGAATATTTGCTAGGAGAGAGACGGGTTTATAATTGCAGTGTTTTGCAGAAGAGAAAATCTCTGGTTGGAGGATCAAGCTGTAGATAAATAATTACTGATTGAATTTACAATTGTGCGGAGCAAAGAAAGAAACTTAGACTTTCATCTTTCTAGGCAAATAAATTAGTAGGCTAGCTTGTGGAGGTAGGGCTGTTTTTTTCCTATTGCCCAATTTGAAAATACTTCTTGTCAGTATTTGCTGAGAAAGTGGCTAGAAAGGAATAGCTCCACATACTAAAGTTGACTGGAGAAAGTACAGGTGGTTCTTGCTTTACATAAATTCTTATTACACAGATTCAACTTTACATAATGAACTCTGGAAGAAATTTGCATTCCCTCCCAATTTTTGTTAGCTGTACTGTATACCACTGTTTTCTCTCTCTCTCTCTCTCTCTCTCTCTCTGTCTCTCTCTCTCTCTCTCTCTCTCTTTCTCTCTCTCTCTCTCTCTCTCTTCCTGCCTCTGAGTTTTGGTGCTCCCTAGTTTCCCCTCACAAACCCCATCACAAATCCTAAACACAAAGAAACAAACAAAAGCCCTCCAAATAAAAGCAGAAGAACAGAGGTAGAGGGTCCACCACCTCTGAAGCCTGATTGGGAGTTTGGCTTTAGACCTCCAATGGCAGAAGAAAAGACCTTTGTCCCACTCTGCCCCCCACCATGTGTCTACCCCTGGCATATATCTTCTGTCTGTAATTGAGCACCATATGTCTGTCTTCATCCGTCATGGTTTACCCCATCTCTACTATTTGTAACTGGTCCCCATGATTCTGTCCCCAAGGGGTGTTCCTTCTCTCAGGTCTGGCCACAACCCCACGTAGTTGGTCCAAGGCCTCATGTTCCACCCCTTGCTTTTGATTCTCTGTCACTTTCCCACATGTGTGCTTGAACAGTATGCTGGCTCCCTCCCACCAAAGTTGCATAAATCCTCCCTTTTCCCCTGCCTGCCTCCATTCCTTCCCAATATGAGAAAATTCAAATTAAATAAAAATCACTTTACATAAAAGTCTGCAGAAAGGTCCACTTATGTAAAAGTAGAACTTGTCATTACAAGTTTTCAAGCAAAGGCTGGATGGCCCCTTGTTGAATGTGTTGTAATGGAGGCTCTTTCAGGTATGGGTTGTACTGCACACCTACTACTCTCACATTCTTTAAAGGATTGTATGTTTCTGCAATTGAGGCTATAAGTCCAAATAAAGAGATTCGAGTCCTTCAATAGGGATCATTGGCTCATTATATCTTCATCATGTCACTAGTTCCTATTCAACATGAATACCCTTGCCAATGATGCTTTGATTTCTCTATTCTGCAGGCTATAAATGTAAGGATTTAGTGTTGGAGCCACCACAGAGAACATGACTGTGGCCACCAGATCTTGATCCCTTCCCTGGGCGTCCAGCTGGCCTGGGGGTTGCAAATAAACACCCACCAGAGTCCCATAGAAAAGCCCAACTACACACAGATGGGACCCACATGTGGCAAGTGCTTTGCACATCCCCCCAGTTGCTCGGACCTTATACACAGCAGCACCAATGTAGGCATAGGAAGTGACAATGCAGGCAGCAGGTAATAGGATGGTGGATCCTCCTTCAGTTAGGGCAACTAGGAAGTTGAGGGAGGTATCAGAGCAGGCAATCTGCAGCAAGGGATAGACATCACAATAGAAGTGTGGAAGGGCATGGTTGTTACAGAAGGACAAGCGAGCAGTGAGGAATGTGTGAAGAAGAGAGTGCAGGGCTGTGCCCACCCACACAGCCCCAAGGAGGAACACACATCGTGGTTGGGTTACCACAGTAGCATAGTGAAGCGGTCGGCATATAGCCACATAGCGATCCCATGCCATGGCAGCTAACACATAGCTGTCCACATTGCCTGCCAACAGGAAGAAGAAGACTTGGGTCAGACAGGCTGAGTGGGTGATAGTCCTGTCCCCTGTCAGCAGGGCATGGAGGAGTCGGGGCATGGTGGTAGATGTGAAGCACAAGTCTGCCAGTGACAGGTTAACCAGAAGCATGTACATAGGTGTGTGGAGATGTGAGTCTAATCCAATGGCAACGAAAATAAGCAGGTTTCCCAGGAGGGCTGCCAAGTATAGGGCCAAGAACAATGGTAACAGGATCTCTTGGTGACTGGAAAAGGCCAGGAGAAGGAACTCAGAGGTGCTAGTCTGGTTTCTCACTGTTGTATTGCTGCTGGGTCTGAGGCTGGGTTGAGGAAGAAAAGAAATAAGATAGCAAAAACTCCTATAATTATTTCCAAAACATCAATCCATCCAATAAAGGGTTGGTGGTGTGGTAGATAGAGTGCTGCACTTCGATTCAAGAAGACCTGAATTCAAATCCAGCCTCAAACACTTGTAACCTATGTGACTCTGTGCAAGTAACTAAATTTCAGTCTGAGTCAGTCTCCTCATCTGTAAAGTGGGGATAACATTGGGATAACAGCACTTACTTTTACTTCCCAGGGTTGTTGTGAGGATGAAAATGAGATAATAGTTGTAAAGTGCTTTGCAAAGCCAGTTCTATTGACACCATTAAGGCCATTCATAAGGATGTTGCACAGCCTCTGAGTGTCATTTCCAAACAGGACGTCCAAAGAATTTTCAGCTAAGTAGAATTTTTGACATTTCTCCAGGCTACTGATACACAATAGAGTAATAGTAGCTTGCACACAGTAGGTGCTTAATAAATGTTTATTGAATTAATGTATATTGAGTTGAGGTCACTAAGTGCAGTATTATGAAAGTACAAATTATAGTACTTTATACTTATTTGTTTCTCTTGTAATATGTTCTATGGTACTCAACTTTACCACTGTTTCCCACCATCCCCCAGCCCCAAAGGAACATTATCTAATCACTGACTTACAGAACCTCGACCTAAACCCTTGCTTGCCTTTGTAAGGAATTGAATGATCTTGAACATCATGTCCATCATCTCTAGAATAGTCAAACTATAAAGATACTGCCTCTGCAGAATGTGAAAACGACTCTGAAATGATTCCCAGAGTATTCTCCTGAAGATTCTTTAATTCTCCATAAGCCTTGAACTCCAGAATTTTTGGGGTACCAGCCTTTTCATTTGAACTTCTCTTAGTACTTTCCTGAACTCAGTGCTTCCAAGATTCCCTTGCCTTTTATGATATATGGTTAATTAGAAAGAAAGATAGGTTATAGGTTATAGATAAGAGTATGCTGATAGATGAGAGATAGATAAATGGATAGATAGATAGATACATAGATACAGGTAGATAGATAAATAGATAAGTAGATAGATAGATAGATAGATAGATAGATAGATAGATAGATAGATAGATAGATAGATTTATGAGTGCTTTTTATGTTCCAGGTACTGTTCAAAGAGCTGGACATACAACTACAAGTACGCGTAAACAAGAAAATGCTAAATCTAAAAGAGCTTACACTTTAAAAGAGATGAGGAACAACAGAAAAAGACCTGGGGAGAGGTGAGGTCTATCCATTGCAGCACGATTTGGAACTGGAGACCAGAGTGAGGGGGTGGTTTTTTCCAGGCAAGATAAAGATGAACATCTATCAGACACAACAACAGTTCCAGGAGCAGAACAGAGGATTCCTATGGGGAGGAGGTGGGGAGGATGGACAGGGTACATGCGAAATGGTTTAGAGCCGGTGACTGAAAAATGAACTCCTCTGGGTAATTGTTGTCAGCTGTGCTATAGTGGAAAGGTCACTGGATTTGTACTCAGACCTGGATTCATTGTTCCATTTAACGACTTGCTGGCTGTTTGAGTATGCCTGTCTTTAATAGGCCTACATGAGCAGTATCAGCATGTGGTTACAAAGTCAGAATTCTGGAAAATGAGTAAAGGATACTAAGAACCACACAGGTTTTAGGCAGTGTATAACATTGATTTATGGGCAAGCATTAACTTACTAATTAATGTATAGGTATAAATGATATAAATTTTAGTTCCATGTCCCATTCCAGTAAGTTCACATAATACTGGAAAAAAAGAAACAACTAAAAACTAAAAAACATCAACAAAACTAGAAGATATAAGGAAATTAAAGACAAATAGAATAGCTAACAGTTTCTTCGTATATTTTTATGGGTAATTTAGTGATTTCAACTTAAATTGTTTATGATGAGAATAAGTAAAAAAAAACCCAAAAAACAAAAAAACAACAAACCAGTGAAGACAACTGTAGTATATATGACAAGATCTCCAAATCAAGTCAATATATACATTGATACATATACATAGTAGCTGTCATCCATTTAAAGACAGTGACTGCAAACCCCTTAATTCTTCTATTCCTAGGCTGCTAGATTTGAGATCAGGAGAGAGAAGACAGAGAACCAGCTCAGGTCCAGGTTCTGAAAGAAGCTCTTCCAGCATAGGACATATAAACCACACTCACCTTTGTAAAAGACTCCTCGACCTCCCATTTACCTCCAGAGGGAGACTCCAACCCCACTTCTGCAGATTCATCTTATATAATCTTTCATTATCTAAAGTTCTGGTAAAAGCAACTCTTCAAAGATAAGAGGTTTGGGCTCAAGCAGCGGGGTATGAGGAAGGAGAGAAAGGGAAACAGAACATGCATTTCTCACTGTGTCACAACCCAACACTGTAGGGCAGAGTGGAGCTATTTAAAGGGTTGGTATAGTGAAAATTTAGCTTTGGCAGTAGCCAAAGAGAAAGTGCTCATTAGTCCTTTCCTTTCCAAGGCCTTTCTATTACTGTTTTCCCTTTTCATTCTCCAGGGTTACCCCATTATCTTATCTTTATCTCCCCAGTGTCCTCATTATAAGAACACGAGAACACCAAATATATCTTAGATAGCTTCTGTTGGCGCCCAGGGTCTTATGCCAACACATTCACATACCCTCTCCCATGTCCATTCTCCATCTTGGCATGGCTCTTCTGTCACTCCATTTTTTTCTGGACCTAGGACTCAAGAGACTCACCCACCTTGCTTTCTACTGGTTGCTATCACCTTTCCTTCTACCAGAGTTTCCTCTCTTCCCAGAACCTATGGAAAACACAGTAATGTTTCATAATTTTTCCTTTCCTCTCCCATTTGTTTCATAACTGAGGGTAAATAAACAAGAAGAACATTAAAAGGTATCAAAAAGTCTTGTATCATACATTACTCCTAATTTTTGTTCACCTATTCATTAATTAATTCATTCAGCAACCATTTATTAAAAATCTACTGTGTATGAAACACTGCTCTAGATACTGAAGCAGTTGTTTTCTATCAATGTATCACCATCAATATATCCCATAATATACATCAAATCCCAGCCATACCTTCTAATATTATCCTGTTTTTCTTGTCCAAGTGCTCCTACAAATCCCTTTTAGCTCTCTTAGCATTCTATAGTTACCAGTGAAACACTTAAATTATTCCTCCGTGATCCCTTGCTCTTGCTATTTGATTGACCCACTTTCTTTTCTAAACATATATTTCTTGGGTGATATCTTTCAAGCAATTTATTCTTAAACTTGGAGACAAAAAATAACATTAGATATGGTCCCTGCAAACATGGAACAATTGATCAGGGCAGAAATGATGCCTATGCTATAAGTGTACAAGAATTAGAATGCAGAAAAATGTGATAAGAGCCTAAGAGTGGTTCAAAGCACCATCCAGAATGCAGCATAGTAAAGTAGAGAGACCATAACTGAACAATGATACATAAGAAAGACAAAGTATATAGCATTCATGGTGGGACATACGATATACATGCAAATCTATATGAAAGAGAAATACACACACACACACACACACACACACACACACACACATACATATATATATATATATATATATACATATATGAATGATGTAGTGAAAAGATCATATATTTGGGGTCAGAAACTTGATTTTAGATCACTATTCTGCCACTTACTACTTATATTACATAGGACAAATCACTTAATCTCTTTGGTCCTTAGTTTTATCACCTTTAAGATTTGGGGGTTGGGATAGATTAATTCTAGTCTACTTTTTTTCTGCCCCTTTTTCCTTTTTCTTTTTTTTCCAGCCTAATTCTAAATCCTATGATTATGATCTTTTCTGTTTAGGTAAAGTGGCCCTAGATTGAATTGGACATTAAATGATTGAGAAAGTAGACAAATTTTTGTAATATTTTTGTATTATTTTTGTTTGTGTGTTGTTTGTTTTGCTGGGAGGACAGAGTATGGAGCAGGTGGTGAGGGAGTGACAGAATCTATGCAACACCTTGTTAATTTAACTAATTATTCTTTCTAGCTTAGTTCTAATTTCAGTTTTTTGAGTTTCAGCACTGCCACAGACTTCTAGTTTGTACCACAAGACAGTGCCCTGATCACACTGTTTTAGTTACAACCCTTGCAACTACAGTTTTTATTTGGACTTTTGAGCTTCCTGAAATATCTAGTTGGATCCTATGCTTGAAAAGAAGAAACATATAAAAATCAATTATAAAGTCTATGCTGACTTTGTTGTATTGGTTTTCAGTTCCAGTAGTTTCAGTCATGTCTGATTCTTTATGACCCCATTTTGGATTTTCTTGGCAAAAATACTCTTGGAGTCTACCATTTTCTTCTCCAGTTCATTTTACTGATAAGCAAACTGAGGCAGACAGGTTAAATGACTTGTCTAGGGTCACACAGCTAGTATCAGAGGCCAGATTTGGACTCAGTATGATGAGTCTTCCAGACTTTATGCTATCTACTATGTCACACAGCTACTCCATTAAAGTTTTATTTTTATTGATGTTCAGTTGTTTTCAACTGTGTCTGACTGTTCATGACCCCTTTTGGGATTTTCTTGGCAAAGATATTGGAATGCTTTGTTAATTCCTTCTCCAGCTCATTTTGTAGATGAAGAAACTGAGACAAACAGGGTTAAGTGACTTGCCCAAGGTCACACATCTAGTAAGTGTTTGAGGCTGGATTTTAATTCAGGTCTTCTTCAATCTAGGACTGGCA